TTTTTTTTTTTTTTTTGAGACAGAATCTGACTATGTCGTCCTTGGTAGAGTTCCGTTGCGTCACAGCTCACAGCAACCTTAAACTCTTGGGCTTAAGAGATTCTCTTGCCTTAGCCTCCCAAGTAGCTGGACTGCAGGCACCCTCCACAATGCCCAGCTATTTTTTGGTTGTAGTTGTCATTTTGTTTGGCAGGCCCGGGTTGGCTTCAAAACCATAAGCTTCAGTGTATGTGGCTGGCACCCTAAGTGCTGAGCTACAGGCGATGAGCCTGCAGTCCAGGAGAAGAGATGGATAGTGCTGGAGAGAGGGGAGGGTGAATGGCATCTCAAGTGGGAATCATATGTTTGCGTAATAGATATGAACATAAAGAGGCAGGGGGACGAGGACAGTGCGTGTGAACATACTCATGTGTATTCTACCTAGATTCCCAGTGTCCCAGGGATGTTGGAGAAATGACAGCTGGGAAGGGAACAGATGATCCTTCTAGACTGGGCCAGAGTCAGCCAGATGGTTGGGAGTTGGGAATCATTAGTGAACAAAAAGCAGCAGCTGGGATCTGAGACTTGATTTTTTATAATTAAATGAATAAAAGCATATTCAGTCATTCAATGGATCCATAGAGCACCTATCTGCGTAGCTGTTACTGGAGGATCTGAACACAAATAGGGGGGAATTGTGCTCCTGGGGAGCTTAGCACTAATATTTCCATCCAACATATACTTAATAAACAACTTAAAAAATCAGCCAGGATGCCAGAGTATTCTGGGATAGAATGTAGACTGTGACAAATTAATCTAATTGTACCAATATTTATGACGTAAACACATTGAAGGGTGAGGAAAAAAGGAGCTGATCTAAGTAACTTTGGAAAACAGTGTTTTGTTTTGTTTTGAGGTTTTTGGCCACAGCTGGGTTTGAACCCACCACCTCCAGCATATGGGGCCAGTGCCCTACCCCTTTGAGCCACAGGCGCTGCCCCTTTTGTTATTTTTTTAAGAGACAGAGTCTTACTTTGTCACCCTTGGTAGAGTGCTGTGGCATCACACAGCTCACAGCAAACTCCAACTCCTGGGCTTAGGCAATTCTCCTGCCTCAGTCTCCCTAGTACCTGGGACTACAGGCACCTGTCACAATGCCCAGCTATTTTTTTTGTTGCAGTTTGGCCGGGGCTGGGTTTGAACCCGCCATCCTCAGTACATGGGGCCGGCGCCCTACTCACTGAGCCACAGGCGCTGCCCGGAAAATAGTGTTTTGACTAGAAACTGTCAAAAGCTAATGATAAAAAGAACAATTCATTCTACATAAACCCCATACTCTTATTGGTAAAATCTTTCTCATGGGGTAGAGGTTAAAAATTTTGAGGGCTCCTATACCCAGCACTCTGGGAAGCTGAGGCCAGAGGATTGCTTAAGGTCAGAACTTCTGAGACCAGCCTGAGCAAAGTGAGAAAAATAGAAAAATCAGCCAGGTGTAGTGTTGTAGGCCTGTAGTCCTAGCTACTTGGGAGGCTGAGGCAGGAGGACTGGTTGAGCCCAAGAGTTCAAAGTTGCTGATAGCTAGGCTGAAGCCATAGCATTCTAGCCTT